TGTACCCGCTATAAGTATTAATAAAAAGCTTAGACCAAAGAGGTCACCTTAATACCGAAAAAAAAAAAAAGAAAAAAAACAATTGAATATAATACTGAAAAGTTTTATTAGTAATATATTTTTTTTTATATACAAAATTTTATTTGCTAGGAAAATTATATGACAAATGATCTACATCACCTTTACTCTTAAGGTATATTTTTTTATAACTTAGATCCTATATTAAAAGTATTGTAATTTAATTATTTATTTTTAACAATAAACTAAAAATAGTTTGTAATTTTTTTGTTTTATTATTAATAAATATTAACTGTTTAATTTAAAAAACAAAAAGTTCTTAATTATAAAATTTTATAAAACTTAATATATTTTGTAATATAAGTTATTTTTTATAATATATTAAAGATATTGTTATTGCTAAATATACTTTTTTAAAGATCAATATTATTAATTATACAAATATTTTATATATTATTTTTTTTTTATAATTTACTTTTTATATTAATTTGTTTACAACATTATTTTTTAAAATATTTTTATATCTGTTGGTATAAACTACAATATTGAATATAAACAATACTAAGTACAAAAATGTATATAAGCAGAATTTTTGGCAAAATAAGCTGAGAATATGGATAAATCATATATTTAATCTTAAAAATATAATTGATAATAACATAGTAATAAAAAATATATAAATTTTTTAATATATATTTTATTATAATTTATTTTAAAAGTTTTTTTTATTCTGTTTTCTTAAAATAACTTTCTATTTATTTTTTCAAATTGAATTTATTTTTTATTTTTTTTTTTTTCTTTAATAAGCTTGCTAAGTTCTTTAGTATTTATACATATTTCTAAACAATATTCTTAATATTGAAAGTTATTGGACCTCAATCTTTTTTGGTTTATATTTTTAAACTTTACAGAAATAATTTGACCAGGCTTTGTCTAGAACTGGCTATTATTGTAAGTTTATATAGTATTTATAAGTGTTAAACTTTTAACTTCACATTACATTTTATGACTTCAGTTATTTCAAATCAGGTTCTAACTTATATTCATTAAAGCATAGCTTCTCAATCACAGATTACTTGTCATTTCTAGAAATAAGTTCATTTATTAATGTCCTAGGTTCTTGGTTCCATAGTATTGCAGTTTTCTATTTTTAGAAATACATCTCTACAATTGCTATTACTGGGATTTGAACTAGCAACCTTGTGATTTGTGACCTCAGAGCATAACTGTTATGCTATCAACCCTAGAGGTCAATTGTATTTATTAATTTATAAAAAAAGTTTATAATTACTAATAAAAAACTATTTTAATATTTTTTTAAAGAATTAAATATTATTAATTTCTTCTTATTTGCATAAATTTCTGATTTTAAATGCCAAAGTAAAATTACCAAAACCTTACCAATTTGGTTTGAATTTTTTTTAATTATATTATAATATATTTTATTATTTCATAACTTTCTAACATTGACTTTTTTAATCTAAAAACAATTTTTATTTCTAAAAAACTTAAATATATTAGAATTGCTACCTTTTTTTTTTTTGTAGATTTATTTTAATATAAATTTGTATCTTTAAGATCTTTACTTTTCTTTTTTGTATTACTTTTAAATTTTTTATCACTAACTTCATTGTTTTTTAACCTTTTGGTAAGTTTTAATTTTTCAAAAAACACCATTGCTTCTTTAAAAATTTCATAAAGAAAAAGACATTGTATATTTCTGTCATCAGACTCTGATATCTCATTTATCTATTTCATAATCAATTGAAGTGACTTTGCAGAATCATCATAATGATGATCTGTGCAATCAAATGAAGGGACAAAGTTTCATCCTTTTTGCTTATACAAATGACCTTCAGATGTAAAACATAACATACATATATATCGTGCACGTCTAGACCTAGATGATTGTTTAGTAAATTCATTCTCTTGAAACACTTGACAAGCTTTCAATCCATTGCAAACTATTTGTATGTTCCAATCACATAATTTTCATAAATGTTCTGTACAACACCTACAACTAAATACATATAATGTTCACAAAATAAGCATCTTTTTCAACAAATCACTGCTCTATTGATAGAAGCTTTTGTTTTTTGATATTTATGTAATTGTTTGTTATCATAATTAAAGTGACTTTTGCAAACCTCTAATGTACATCACCTTTTGATTTCATAACAATTCATCATATCAAAATCCAGCTCCCAAATCTCTCCAAGCTGTTTCAATGGCTTCTCTGTAGAATAAGAACATCGTTATAATATTCCATTTAAATCATCTACTATAATGCATATCCCATTCAACTGTTTAATATTACTAGAAATAAATTCTAAAGTTAATTCATTTTCATGACAAATAATCATATCCCATGATGATTCTCTATTAGACGTTACATCAAGGTCTTGTGCCAACCAATTTATATCAATTTCATTATCTCGTTCTTGCATTGTTGTTGGCATATGCCTTAGCTAACCCGATTGCTGATGTATCAAATAATATATCATGTGAACTATCGTATAGATTTATATCACTTTCTGTGCTGCTTGTACTATATTTAGACAAAAGTGAAGATGTTGGTTGCTTAAAACTTTCAGAATTATCCTCAATGCTAATATAGTCAAGAATCTCAAAGTCCTTATCAGGATCATTACAAAGAGTCTCTCTGTAATCATTAGAACAGTAGTATTTCGTCAGCTAATATTAATTTTATGCCTTAGGTCCCCTTCTACAAGTTGATTCTATTGTGCTTGCTATTTTAATTGAACTAGATGTTTCCGCTATACTTTGATTTTTTTTGTATCCAAAAAAAAAGAAAAGGTTGGTAACAAATTTAAAAAATTACTCGTGTAATGTTCTTTTAGTTGCCTAGTTTCAATTCGAGATTATTTAAAATCTAGTCACTCTATAAATTGCAACTTCACCATTTAAAAAAATAAAAGACTAAAACTAACATTTTTGTTAAACGCAGTAATAAAATATATTCTTGAAAAAAAGTCATTACGGCTTAAAGAGAAAATTTCTGTTAAGTAATATAAGAAATTTGTCGACCATTCAATATAAGTGTACAGCAGCACCACTGCAGCGTGACATATCCCCTGATCGATCAGACGAATTTCCTCCCATGAGCTTTTGTGAATTGGGCTGTCGGTAAATTGAAATGAGCAGTTATAAATTTTTTTGAATTCGCCAAATTAAATTTCCAATCTTTTAATTCTATTCTTTGAGCACTATATCTTTGAAGAATTGATTTTTCAAAATATAAAAACTTCCATATTTTATTAAGCTAATGTATAATAAAAATCGTACAGCATTTAAAAAGAACCGTTACTTTAAATTGAATTAAAAATCTTAAAATTAGTCAGAAAATGCAAAACGGTGGTTTTCCTAGCAAATGTCCCAAATGAATACGGTATTCGGATTTTGATTTTTGACCTAATCATATTTCTGAGTAGAAATGGTTTACATTCCCGAAACCTTTTCAGAACTAGAGTTGCTGGTGAAACTGGTGACTATATAAATCTGAAGAGTTTTACCAGCAACTCTATTCAGAACCTTAAATTTAACTCTAAAATACTGACATTAACAAAAAATTCTGGGTTAAAAATTTGTGCCAATTTTACAAAAAAACCTCCCCAAAAAACAATGATATAACAGCGACAGGCGTCAAAATAACATAGGTGCGTTTTATAAATAATCTTTAAATATTAACTTTTAAAAATAGGCAATTACTATTAGAACTATAGAAGCAAAACTTTCAATTCATTAAAAATTTCATTATATTATTTTCCTATCTAATTAGCTTCAAAGATAAACAGGAAATAAGTTATGATAATTTTATATATCTTAAAAATATTTTTTAGACGACCTATCGATTATTAATAATCTTTAAATTGTAAAAGACCTAATCTTCATTTTTTTTTCAACCAACGAAAATCACAATCAAATCTATTAATTCAATCAATCAACACAAACTAAATTTTATTAATATTCTATCAAGCTATTATATTTAATAATAAACTTTTTGTTCTAAAAAAGAAAATGGATATAAAATTTACAAATAATAAGCATATGAGGTGAATTTTGGGTAGATGGTAAGGGGATGCAGTGTTATTAATAAAATTGAACGGACAGTCCATGAATCAAAATTGATCTTATTCAGGTACAATTTAGTTTCGTTAAATTACATATTGAACAATAGCAAGTATTAAATATTTCACGTATGTTGCGAAATTAATTGTTCGTGAATAACAGGAAATGATTACAGCAAAAATTGACGAAATCGAAATATAATGACGTATTAGATGCCAGCCAAAAGTGAATAACAGAGTTATGTAATCAGATTTGTATAAAAATTTGTCCATTATTTCTTATGATTAAATATATTTGCCAAACCTCTTCTTTGATTATTTTCAAATATAATAACCTTAGCTCTTTTTTTTCAAAAAAAACCACTAGTTCTTTTTAAAGCCTTTTTTTTAAAAAAAGAAAAAATGACATCATCTGAAACTACCGATAACGTTCCAACATGTTTATCCTGTACATCCTTAAAATCTCAAAACGAGTTTAAGGATATCCTGATTTTTAAATATCACAAAATTTCTCAAGCTCAAGATGAACTTATCCAAGCTCAAAGAAATCTAATCAAAGATTTGTTGAAAAATCGAAGTACTAATCTTGACTTTAGTTATACTACGCCTATGATTGGTGAATTAGATTATTATAATGAAATTAACTATATTAAATCTTTGAGCTGTGATATTCAAAGTTTGTTTTCTAAAGAACGAATATTTTTTGCATTTAGCAGTTAGTTCTAAGTTTCAAGATTGATAGTTTTTTAATCATCAGGGAAGACAACGCCTCAAGCATCCGGTTCAAACGATTGGTGCAGAGTTTATATCGGTGCAGTTACAGATGATATAGATGAAATGACTTTACAGCAATGCCTTGAACGTGCTTTCGGTCAAGTTTCTTGGCTGGAAATTGTCCGTGCTAGGGTATGAATTAGGAACAACTAGATTCACGGATCTCTTTTAGAATAGATATCATATCGTGTAACGGAGTATTTGTATTATATATTAATCAACTTAATGTATAATCATGCGACGTTTAGGTTACCTGTTCTAAAAGAGATCCAACTCTTCTTTTACAAACCATGAGTGCTTCAAAATATTATTGTTTCAAAGATTTATTTGAGTCATTTTTTATCAATTGTTTATAAATAGAATTGCGCATTTGCTGATTTTTGGTACGCGGAATCATTTCACCGTGCTCTTGAACAAGGATATGTTTACTTGACAAATGGATCACGCGCGAAAGTCAAAATGGCTACCAAGCCTGTCAAAAGATTTAATGGCTGTAAATAATATGTAGTTTTTTTTTTGATATGTGAACAAAAGTCATTTTGAGAAGTTCTTTTTTATTGCTTTTATAATAATGCCTTTCAAATACTTCTAAAAAATTCTGCCTTTTGCTTTTAATGATTCTATGCTAGCTTTGATGTATTTGTATTTTGTGCCAGCCATATTTCCTTATTTAAGTTTTTGGATCACATACTAATTCTAAAATTTCTCATGAATCGCGGTTACTTAATCATTGAACTAATTTATATGCTAAAATCAAATGCTACAATTTCATCAAGTAGTTTTTATTTCAACGAGTCGTGTACTGCAACTTTAAAGTAATTATTACTGTGTTAACTAATTAAAAAGACGTTTAGTTAGCTTATAGTTGAAATCATATCGAAGTTTTTTTTTACATCTTAATCAAAGAAACAATTTATCAAAAGTTGATAAAGCTTCTAGTTTGTTCTCTGCATTATCATTATAACTAAAGTTTCTTATTTGTAAAAAAAGAATATTGTATTGGTAGACTGTCTGGCCTTTCTTTCACGTTCTCTTAGACGTTCGATATTACAAAATCGTACGAACGAATAAACGGATTAAATTGAATGCAATATATGCGGGAGTATATATATGTTTGTACATAGACAATATTCAGATTTTGGATATTCAAGACTAGTCTACCAAAAAAATGCTATTGAATTATTTCTTCCAAATGTTGTTGAAAATAATTATATAACGTGTCTAAAGCATTATCTCCCAATCCCAAAAATATTACGTTCCGACAAATCTAAAATATAAAAAAGGTATGAAAATAGTGATAAAAAGGATAAATATAATAGAATGCGAGTAAAAAAAACCTGTTCAAAGCTCCTTGGAGTCACAGTTTTCAACCATGCTTCGTCATCATGATTGTACAGCCAAATCATAATTGGTTCAATGGTAGAAACAGAAGGAACTGGCATAGTAATCCTTGAAGCATATCGACCACAGGGGTGTGGTCGAAAAAATATTTGTGTTGACATATAATGAAAAATTTTTGAAAACATCTCACTCTGAGGTGAAAGATATTGTCCTTGCACCACAATGTCTAACGGCACCACAAGTTGTTTTTGAAATTGTTCAGTAGTTTGCTGTTGATTTAATGAAGGTGAGTTTTGCTCTGAAGTTTTTGGAGATGGAGAGGGTGATTTATTTGGGCTGTTTACTAAATGCTCATTAATTAATTCATCAATAACTTCACCAGGTTCGACAATTTCAACACTTGAGCAACTATTTGCTTCAACATTCCATATTGGGCGATGATCCGGGAGTGAGTGTCTGCGATTCCATTCACTAAAACTCATCATCCGTAAGATAGTACATTTTGTAAATACGTGTGGCCCTAATAAGGTCATTTGGCTAAGGAGCTGATAAAATGTTGACATAGCAAAATCTGTAGGGAAATCAACCTCGATTATGTCGCTTATGCGATCACTTGGTAGATGCGGCATTCCGTTTATTATAGATTGTATAAATGTTGACCAAAGCCAATTGGTGGTCGAACATTTTAATTGTTGGTATATTGGTTCTTCATACGGAGATAATATTGGATTTATTGTTTCGATAAGTGGAGTGAATGACACGTTGGGTGAGGAATCTATCGGCACACCATATTCATCGAACATTTCAAAATCATTCTGCAGGAATGTATCTGCATCTCCTAAAAATTGTTCCCAGTATTCAGATGAATCTATGTTTATACTTTCATAAGAACCAGTAGGTAATTCCGTTGAACATTGTTGTTCTATCCCCTCGTCGTTCACTATCTTATACGAAAATGCTTTCTTAGTGTATGCCGCAGTAAAAAAAACGTTATAATAAGATGAATGAATGACATGATTAAAGGTTACCGTTGTTTTGTTGTTTTCCCTGGTTCTTATATACATGATTGACTGTATTTTGGTCAATCGGACAAGGTGATTGATGAAGTGGAAAAACCATGAAGAACTTTATTCCTGTATCCTTTTAAGATTATCTTAAATAGAAAAAAATTTTAAACAATAAAAATAAAATAAAATTAAGGTTGAATGTTTGTGTATTTGAGATGAATAAAGTCCTGCGAAACACTACTAAAAATTTTTTAATGAGACAATCAAAACATCGAGAATCAGATCGTGTAAAAGAGTTGAATGGGATAAACTGACAAGGGAAGAATCCGCGAGCCGATGCATCATAAAATATTACGTGATGTGATCAATGCAAAGTATTATTATAAACTACTAATTATTTATGCTGCGTATGATTGACTGATTTTGTTGTGACGTTTTGAGATCATTTATCATCATTGCAGTATTATATTAATATATAAAAATTACGTAATTTGAGAATTTGATTGTGAAGTTGATTGCACGTCAAGGTAGAAGCTTCATTATCATCTGTGATACACTTGTGATAAGCTACTCAAATTCGGGACCTTTTAAATTTATGATGGGTTATCCTGATCGAGTATTAATAGAATGTTTGAACATCATCTACGCATTGTTTTATTAATGGGAATAATGGATATTAATCGTATAAAAATTTTTTACACGTAGGTTTTTTTGCCCAGAGATGCTGTTTTTTTATCGTGTTTTAATCATATTAGGTTGGTCTTTTATTTTATAATCCAGCTGCATTAATTTGAAAATACGAATAATTTTCATATAATTGAAATTATTAAATGAAATGAACTTCTATATTAAAAATATATATATTTAATTTTATATATAAAATTGAAGCTGAGGTCCATTAATATTGCATTTTAAAATTTTTTATTGTATATGCAAAGCTTATTTTTATTATAATATATTATATATATGTATATATGTTTTTTTTTTTTTTTGGTATTAAGGTGAGGCCTTGCTTATATCTTTATTAGTAATTTAAAATAGTTACATATATATA